AAAATGTCTAATCTCGAAAAGGCCAGTTACGTACTTGTAACGCCTCTGGTGTTCCGCGTGTCTTTGGGCGACCTCGATTGCTTACCATCAGATGATCTGTCTGCTCGTTTACCGGCTTGTACTATAAAAAAACTGTTTCATTGACACAATATTACACAAGTATTGTTGTGTAATATTGTTATTTGTGTTACATTATATTGATACAACTTGATTGACAAAATTGGTACAATATAACATAACAATAGTTGTGTAGGTAATATTGTACTATCAATTTTATGAAACAGATTTTTTTACCAAAATCTCATGTAAAAGTGAATGTTCTCTAAGAATGTGGATGCATCATGCATCTTTATCAAAGATTACAAATTAAATCTGTTTTACTATCAACCTTTTTTTTAATAAATAGCTTCGAGAATCTTATCCAGATTCAAGCGATTCATGCAACAGTCACTTGTCTCTCTCAGGACAAGGATTGACACGACATTCTTAGACATGTCAAACTTTTGGGCTTCTGACTGCCGGCAACGTCTGTCATAGAAGTTTCTATGACAATTGGGGCTGACATCATTCGGAGAGTACGCTAAACGTTGGAAACGAATGGTCGTTGTCAGTAAATGGAGTTATCTTGTTATGGTTTTTATCTAATACTTTTTAAACACGCAATCCTTGAATACATCAACAACCTTGGAATAAATAATTAAAACTGCGTTTAAAAAATCGACTACAAAAAACCCAAAACTAAACACAAACAAAAAGTAAAAACTAAAAAGCTAAAAATAACTATTATTAGTACTGTAGGCAACTCTTATGTTAAAAACCTCCTTTTAGCGCGATACGAAAAATGGTGGTAACGTATAAAATAAATTCGTGTTCGCGATAAAATTCAAAATTCGAAGTCCCGCCCACGCCTCGCTCGAGCGGACCCCGCGCTCGCGCCTCGCGCCAGCGCAGCACCCGCCAAGGCGCCAACTGCCAACCGGCCACGGGCCAACACTCAACAGTCGCCGCCGTAACGTTGAGTGAGTGAGCGTGTTCAAAGACGCTCCGCGTTCCCGCCAATTTTCTCGGTTTTTGAATTCGTTGTAGAAACATCTAGCCCTAATTTGTTACATTGATCCTTCGAGCCGGATCACAATGAATGACAAAGTTTGCGGTGTCGTAACACGAAACAAAGCTCATGCTGAAGCTGAGCGTCCCGTTACGGAAATTATACCTACGGCGCGGCGTCGCGTACGTAGGTAGAAGTTGTTGCCACGTCGACCGGGTCGCGATCGAGCCGCCTCAGCCGCGAAGCGCTTCGTCTCCGCGTCGAGTATAAACTTGAAGAAGAGCTAGCTAGACTGTGAGAACAACTCATCCAAAAAATGCTGGCCATGGAGATCCCCGAGATTGAGGACTTGGAGGATCGCGCGATGAGTGTCGTCTCTTCTCGAAATGAGGAAGAGTTGTTGAGTTCGACACAAGCAGCCCCATGCGATCACGTGGAAAAACCGCCTTCGCACGAAGCAGCAGTTCAGAACGAGAATGCGTGCACTACGCGCATGCGCGGACCGAGAGACAGACACGAGCCGTTCGCGCCCGCGGCGGCGTCCTCGCCGGCCGCCGCGGGCGCTCCGCCTCCTGCCGCGGCCGCCATCCGCGCCGTCGCAGCCTCGGACATCATGCATCTAGCCGATGTTATTAAATTTCAAGTATGTCGAAGCGACCATATCAAAATTATAATCTCCCCCTGTTTGGTGGGAGCCCGGCAGATTGGTTGACTTATCGACGTACGTATGAAGCTACCGCGGCCACGTATAGTGTGTACGAGAACATCGTACGGTTACAAGCATAGCGTAGCGCGGCGAAGAGTGCCGTTGAAAATCTGCTTCGTACTGGGTCCGACCCCATATACGTAATAAATGCTTTAGAAGAGGAGTTCGGCGACCCTAATTTTGTACTAGAAACGGCGTTGAAAAAAGTAAGAAGTTTACCCCGTGTGATGAAACGACAATAAGACGAGATCTTCGAGTGAGATCGCCAAATGTAAACATTGTTCTAGACTTTTTAAGTCACCTATCACAAGCTTCAGCTTATTACTTACTGCTGAACATAAACACTGAACATGATAATAATCGCAATCGGAATATCGCCACTGCTACCTACAACGCTGTCGCCGCGACGTCGAGCACGAGGAGCGCTGATACCGCGCGTCAACATAGTAGATCAGCTGATTGAGTGCACCTCACCAGCGGGGTACCTACGTCCGCGACACCGATGCCGAGTTCGTCATCGAGTGAGTGCGCGTTGTGTACTAGTGCGGGTCACTGATTACCCGAGTGCGATAAGTTCGTGGTTAAAAGTGAAAACGAAAAGTGGGACTTCGTAAAGGTCAATAAACTGTGTTTCAAGTGTTTAGTGAAAAACCATTCTCGTTATCGTTGTCCTGCAAAACGGTGTGCAAAGTGTCGTTCTCCACATCATAAGTTTCTACAATACGAGAAGCCGAGAGCCCCGGGTGTTACCGATGACATCGGTCCACCGGTTGCGGTGTCGCGCACCCGCCGGCCGTCGCCGCCCGCGCTGAGCGTCATCGCCGTTGCCTGCTGAGTCAGTGACGAGTATGGGTGAGCGGTGTCGATCCACCAAAACTTTGTTAAATATTTTGCGTGTAACTATTATTATCTTATACTATTGTATAATCTTATATCTTATACTATTATATAAAGTGGAAGAGTTTGTTTTTTTTTTTGTTTATTTGTTTGAACGCGCTAATCTCCGTATCTACAAGTCTTATTTGAATAATTATTTTTGTGTTGAATAGTGCATTTATCGAGGATAGCTATAGGCTATAAAACATCAACCTATAGCCAATAGAAGCTGAGCAGAGCATGTGAAATCGCGCGGAAGTAGCTAGTATTATTAATAATACTGAATTATAGTTTGTAAGCTTTGTTAAATGATGGAGCCACCGTGTCGTTTGTAGATTCAAGTATGTGTTATTTAGTGTACCATCATCTACGTTAAGAATTGGTAGTGCACGTGGTATTGTTATGTATGAAAATAATTCACGTAGGGTGACTCCGTTAATTATTATTTAATTAGCGGTCCCAACGGCGTATGCCCTGATATCATAACATAACATCACGCCTTTTATCCCCGAAGGGGTAGGCAGAGGTGTACATTATGCCACTGTAGGTACTATGTAACATCCACTTTTCACTATTTAATATTTATGTTATGAGTCCCATGTAATAGGGGGTGGGCCTATTGCCATATACCGGTCAGAATTCCAGACTCCGTGCTACTACTGAGAGTTTATAAAAACTCAGTAGTACTTTGCCCTACCCGGGAATCGAACCCGAGACCCGTTGCCCGGCAGGCGTACTTGCGACCACTCGGCCAACGAGGCAGTCATGCCATGTAACGAACTATTGATGATTTAGATTTACCTATCCAAACTGTGTCTGCTAGAGTTTGAAATAATAACAAACATCTGCGTGATTTAGATTTGTGTGAGATGTCGTGCAAAATTCCTATGATTCTAATCGATTAAGATAACTGTTGATTAATCGTAAATGAACGAATATGCCAGGGCAAATCCTGGCAACCTATAGCGTCCATTACAAAGTTATGTTGGGTTCACGGACCTGTGGATTTACATACTCGTGACAAGTCGGACAGTGAGTCAATAAAATTCTTTCGAAAGTTTATAAATGATCACAACGCCCTCGTGAAACAGCAGTCTTTGCTCGAGTCTATAGGTATCACAGAAGTGTCACGCGCTTGTAAAATTCTAGACAGCACCAGCCGTTGTTTTGACAGAGTTTGGGAAGTAGGATTACTCTCTGGTCACGTGACACGGTGCAATCACCTGATAATTATGATTACGCTGTTAAACAGTTACGCGGCATATGGATAAAACCCCGATTACGCGGACGCGTAGTCGCGCCTCTAGTAAGGCTTGAAACTACTCGAGTTCCTCGTCGAAGAGTTACGTGAGCAAACCGAAAAACAAAAAATAATTATTTGTGTTTATATTTTTAACTAAAACTTATAAGTTTCAGTTCAGAGTTATTTCTACAATGAAAGTTTATATTCTGAACAAAATAGCGTACAAAAGTTAACACTACTAAATTTCTAGAAGCGAAATGACGAGAATTTAAGTGCTTTAGCCAAGTTATGTAAACTATTCACCTGTTGTAGTAAATCTTAAATTCTTTTGTTACCTAAATACTTAGTGAAAATTGTTATAAAATTTATCGTTTGCTAACTGAATTACGTATATGCTCGCTTACCACGATTTTTTCATGGTTTTTGTTCGAATATCTTACGTACTTTAAGAACCAGTTTGGTTTGTAAAATGTTTTTCAGCTTGATATATCTCATCATCTCATAAACAGCCTACAAGTGGCCACTGCTGACCCAAGGCTTATTCTCGCACGAAGAAAGATTGAGCATTAATCGCCATGCTTGCTCAGTGCGGGTTAGCGATTTCAAACTTTTAACACATAAAACGCCATGACCCCCATGGCGTTCTATGTGTTAAAAGTTTGTGGTGGCCGGTGACGGTGACCGACGTTAGCTAAGGAATTGCCTTAAACAGTTTTGTAATGGCAGTCAAAGGGATAATTAGAAATTATAAGCCCAGATTTCCTCATGATGTGTCCTTCGCCATTTGTCAGGGGTGTTTAATAAAATCTTAGAAAGTACATATAACTCGGAAAAAGTCACATTGGTACTTACCGTTGGTAGGTTTCGACCCTCTCGTGCACGAGAAGCGGGCGTCTTAAACCTCCGGGCCACCACGACATATCGTGCATATTCATAGGATAGGTTACAGACATATTAAATACTGATAATATGAGGTTTAGAAGCCGGACGACTGAATTTCTGTTTTCTTTAAACTATGGAGGACTGTTAGTAAAAAATCACATGTCACAGTACTTGTTTTTGAAAGCCACCTGCATAGAAACATAAACCTTAGACTTTACCCCCTAACTCTCATTTTTCTTTAACAGTTACGACACTCGAGTGCCAGGACCATCAGCGCATTGGGTGGACGAGGCCTATATTGGTCGAGCCCACTGGCACAGCGCGCCCAGTGCTGGTCTCAAGATGCTGGAGATCAAAGGAAGAGATCGCGCCATCTACAGATGTCGTGTGGACTTCCACGTGTCTCCCACCAGGAACTATAAGATCGCACTTGATGTTATCGGTAAGTTGAAAATGTATTTTAGTGTCATTTTTTGACGGTTGAAAATCAGCCAATGACTTCTCCCGCCTTGGGTGAGGTGAGAGGAGGGAGTATCAGACTCTTAATGACTGAAAATCATCCTGTTCCTACGCTTACTGTAATAGCTGGAGCCCCGCGAATTAAGGCCCCCGTTAAGTCTTTCGCATCTCTGTATCAGGCATCAACCCTATTGAACCCCATCTGTGGTGGTCTGATGGCTTTTTGGCTGAACAGACACGCCATACATACGGGTTGGTTCTGCTTTAGAAGCTAGCTTAAACATTACATTATAGAAATTGCGACTTGACTATCTCGTTGACACATATATTATAATACCTATCATATTTCTGTGATCTCGTCCATCAAGTTGTTTCATTTGTTGGATTATGAGTTTCATGCAATTGAGGGCAAACCTATTTAGATACACTGCACATGATAACAGATTCCATGATGACTGGGATTATTGATTACCAGATATGAATTTCTTGGTTTGGAAACCGAACCTGAGGCATTATTCCTCAGCAGCCGCGATGGGGTACGGTTCACCAATGAACCGATCATACAACTTCAATAATATTGTGTATGAATATCTCTCTTTTTTCTGAAAGTTAACAATACTCGAAAATCCTTATCCTTACTAATATTATAAATCTGAAAGTGAGTTTGTTTGTTCCACCTTCACGCCGTAACTACTCAACCGATTGCTTTCTATTTTTGCAGACGTAAAGTTAGAAGTCCGGATTAAATAATAGGGTACTTTTTAACCCGGAAACAAATGATATTCCGAGGAAAAACAAAAGTATTGGTATAGATGGCGCTGTGTGTATTGGTATATGTCACATAGGCTTCTTTTTATTCTTTCGTGATGCGAGCGAAGCTGCGGGTAAAAGCTAGTTATAAATATTGGTAATAATCGGTTCTGTCAACCAAACTAGATAAGATTTTTAGCCGCAATTTAATAATACATTTTTAATTGTATCCTTTTGATACAATAAAATTATTAAATTGCGGCTATAAGAGGCCTTTGTTGTGATCCTAATAAATATCTGTCGTATGTTAGGATAGGACGTTTGGCTGGTAGCCAGGTTTTAAATTCATTTTCAGACAACATGACGTAATGTTGTTGCGGTAGTATCATTTCTCAAGGTCACGTCTGACTTTGATAATAGTATTCGCGAATTAACACTGAGTTATCACGCACTATTAAATTAATTAAAATTAGCATGCTTCACATTCCTGAACGCATAGGCTTTTGATTTTATTAATATGTTTTATTTGTTTTAGTAGATATTATATTGTGTATCACGCATATGCCTGACAGACACAACATATTAAGATATATTTTTATACGCAATCATATTGTTGTTGTAAGTGACGAGTCAGAAAACCTTTATATGTTTCTACATAAACATAACATTACGCCTTTTATTCCCGAAGGGGAAGGCACGTCACGCCACTGTACAATATAACACCCACTTTTCACTATTTTTGTTATCAGTCCCATGTAATTGGGGGTGAGCCCATTGTATATATCGGACACAATTCCAGAGTCCGTAAGAAATTAAAACCAGTTATACTTTGCCCGACCAGGGAATCCAACCCCAGACCTCTTGCCCGGCAGTCGCAATTACGACCACTCGGCCAACGAGGCCGTCAGAGCAGTATTAAATTTCTACTAAGAGCTATAAAGCAAAAAAATATGACGACAGAAGAATACGTTATAATTCTAATCTTTTCCGAATATGAATGAAAGATCCCCAAGCAAAAGTATTTCATATAATCATATTTCATAGAATTCATAATATATAATCCTTCACAAATAACTCGTTTCCTTCAACCAACGAATTTAGTTTTCCAGCAAAAATATTATGTAATTTATATATCAGTACGTTAGTAATACGTATTCATTCCACTCCAGTACATTGAAGCATTTTCTCGAAGAAAGTGGAATCTAATTAAGTAAGACATGTCCGAAAAGCTCTCAGCTTATGTAAACATGAGCTTTTCGTGGAAATAGCTCAGTATTTTCTGGTATTAAGGAGAGAAATATACGTATTTTTACAGAGAATTACTTCATTTTATGGTGAATAGTAGAAATGAGACTGGGGAAATTGACCTTGGAAGCGACAATGTAATTATCAGGTTTGCGGACGGAATGAAAGTAAATCTGATCTTATTACGTGACTGTATCGTCGGGACTAAGAAGTCGTTGGAAGTTAGTGTTCCTGTAGCAGTACATGATAAGAATATTTGACATCAACATTACATACTTATTGGATTGGCGCTGGAGACGCATAAATTTTCGTCTAGGCAAGATGTAGTAGGCGACATATCAAATATTGCAAAATAGAGTAGGTTATTTTGGGATAACTTTAGATGATACTATCTCGTTCATCTTGTGGTCAGACATGGTCTTGACTTTAGATGTCTGGTCCGTGAAAAAAATATTAAGCTTTTTCAATTTCACCCCGTTTTACTAGAATTTCAGCATTCATGATAGAAATATGTTTTAGAAGTGTAAAATATGTATACTTTGTTATGGTACAAGTATTTTTATTTAGCTTACACAAACGCCTTGATTGCAATGTTTCCTTAATTAACCCGTTAGCGCCGAGTTTCATATGCATTATCAATTATTAGAACATGCTCCATACATTTAACCCCGACAATACCCTAAGTAACAGGTTGTAGGAGGTCGGCTTACGACTTTAGTAATCTAACTCCTGTCTTATAACTTGCTCAGAATGAAGCTCCTTCCAGTTAATTTCAATTTCAAATTAATATGGGAATAGGGTGACGTCGAAATTATACAGTTCGTTGATCACTTTAGTAATTTATTGAAGTTTTGGTAGTAGGTACGTGGGAGTGTGCCTTTGGACAATCTGTGGTAATTTTCATGACCGAGTTTTGAAATTGCAAAGAAAGAATTGTTATAGACCGATTTTTTTTTAAATAATTTACCTTTTGTGTCGTTTTATTTTTTCTTTTCTGTTTTTTAGTATCTATTGCATCGTCATAATGGTCTCATTTAATTCATTAATTTACGTTTTATTGAAATAGATTACTTAGATTGGTTATTAATTCTTCATATTCGGCCACAATCAACTATTTTGCGAATATCGTCTCTCCATCTATCACTCATTAATAAACAATTATGTGCTACATTTTAAATAAACACTTCGCCAAATCCCACATTATTTAATATAATCCGAAATCGCGTTCGTTAATCCCCAGCTCAAGCATATTGATTACATCAATATCGCATCACGATTATTACACCGATTTGTGGCATACGGCCATGTTTAACGACGCATAATAACAATATAACCAGATATAATAACCAATAAGATTATAGCGTCATGTCGTATTCTAGATCTGCTAAAACGAATATTAAGGTTAGGCAGTAAAGAGCATAGTGATGACGATGAAATTTTTTTAATATCCATTTGGTAGATTGTTTTACCTAAAGCAATTAAACTTCTATTTTTTAGTTTCTCACTGAAATATAAATTTTCGACATATGTATCGATGTAAATTATTGCGTGACGTTCTTGTTACCTTTTATGTTTAGGATAAAGTACTTAATTTCTAATCGTTTTAGTCGTTTTTGTTTATGTATTTTGTTTTCTTATACGATCAAATAAAATAACATGTCAAATATTTTTCATTATCTAGCTAATAAACTAAAAAGATTTTTAATTTGCATGTCCTATCGTCATCTTTATTCTGCATGTACGAGTATAATAATTATTTTCGTAGTCAGATGTTTGCATTTGCACTTAGTGCCATTAAGATTATCGCATTACTTAAAACAAATGTGAAAAAGTACATGTTCCACACGAACTGCGTTTTAGCTGTTTTTATTTAAGTAGCTTGCGAACAGGAAATTTTGTTTTAATTAATCCTCATTTCACATACAGGCAATTGAAAACGTAAAAAGGATACATGCATAGTGTTTCTGTCTGTACAATATTTTATACGACTAACAGTAGGACGAGTGTGCTGTTACCATTCACTAAAAAACACCTGAACTTTTTTATGAGATGCTAAAGAAGTACCTCATCTATATAATTTAAATCTGTATTCGGAAACTATTAAGCCTATCTGAATGAGATCGCCATGCAGATGGGTGAAACTCTTAAATTCTCACATAATCTCGCGTCCGTATCTGCTCTCCCCTTTTTGTGTTTTAATAAAATAATTCACCTTGAAATGGCTGCCCAACAAAAGCTATGAGCCGTACCGTGAGGCAATCTCGATAAAAACTAGTACGATCGTAAACTTGACCCTCTGTTATCCTGGTCGAATCAACACGAAAAGTTTAAGGGGAGTCCAAACACGCCCTAGGATGATTTACGTTCCAACGCTGACAGTAAAAATACGGGTCAGTAGAAATTAAAATTTTATGGGGACTTACCAGATCCTGGAGTGTATCGGGATGAGCAGACGACGGTAAAATAGATTACCTGCTTATGTTACGAGCTTCTTACATTTTACGATATTTGTTAGGACCAACATTTTGTTTTATGAATGAAGTATTAGGACTTGGAATGAGGAGTGAATAATAAAATGGATATGGCGATCTAAAAAAAATGCAATTTGGTAAAATTACGTCATCAACACCGACACGTTAAAAAGAGTACCTACTTATGTTTTATTATTCAGCTCAAACGTCGCTAGTTTCTTTATAGGAAGGATTTTGTCGAGATAGTTACCCAGAGTTTATTTTATCACTCTCTATTTTACTTACATACTTGTACACTATCCTCTGGTTGTCTATTGCCATTATTTTCACAATGTCTACTGCTATAAATCGCCTCAAAGCTCATACTAATGCTAACAAAATATGATCTGTATAATAATTAATTCAAAGTTATTCAGATTCGAAATGAAATTCACAATATCATATCCCACAAAAGCCCTCACCAGCGTAGCAACAAGATTATTTTTTGCGTTCCAAATAATTATAGGTCTTCAAACAA